AAGAACATGTAAGGTAATTATAGAGACTGCAAGGTATATGTAGGAACATCTAGAGACATAAAATTACATCTAATCACTGTAATTTGTCTTTGTTGCTGCAGCCTCAGGATGAAACAGCATAGAAAGACATCAAGGAGGCTGTATTAGGATTAGTACGCTTGTTCAAGGTAATGAAGGACATGCAGAGATTGTCCACACATATTCGTTCATTGTGATGAAGTTATTTTCGTGAACAAAAATAAGTGTAATTTAATGCCACACTTGCTTCTCTTTCAGTAATTTCATTCTATTTTTGCAGATGAAATTGTTTCGTAAACCTCAAGAACGAGCCGAACGAATATTCAATATATTAGTGTACCACATAAAAACTCATTATGACAATGGCTATCGGACGTATAGTGCATCGGAAATACGGCTTTCGGTAAGGCAAATTCAATTTATTTCTCGCGATTTTTCTATGATGTCTCACATTGTGTTTTCTTAAAGATTCTTCAATGTTTCCTCAGTCTGCGAGCTGACAACGTCTAGGCCTTGTGCAAGACAAAAGTAGAAAAGTTTAATTCACTTCGTATTTTGTTTGTTCTGAAAGAAAATGTTGGTTAATGACGATAGTGCCACGTATGTCAGGTATTCTGCTTCCAAAATCCTTTTCTTGTTTGCGTAATACATTCTCATTTTTGTTTTAGTTCTGCAGAAGATAAGACAAACGGGATTGTTTCACTGCCTTACAGCGAGGCGATGAATGTTATTCTTGTGTGCTTACAACAGGTAAACTTTTCTATCATAATATATCATCTGGCATTAAGTTTCGATTGAAGTTCAACTTTCTTCATTTTCTAGGAATTGGAATGGGAGGTGTTGGATGTTGTTCTGAGGAACTTTCCAGAGGCACTGCAAGATAAAAACTTGATACTTTCTGGAAAGCAATATTTACGTTCAATATCTACAGTCTTCTCTAAAATGGGAAGGGAAGTGAAGTTGTGTACTTTCACACCAAAATCATGAACTAAAAATTTTACTTTGCATTCAGGTTTCAAATTACGATTTTCTTCCTGGATTATTTCGTGTTCCTGATATGCGCCGACCTCATTTGTACGCTAGAATTTTTCCAGTACGGTTCTTATCAATCAGTTTTTTGCATATATCATAATATCTTACCATAATATACCAAAACCATACCATACCATAACCATACCATATCATATCATATAATCATATCATATAATCATATAATCATATCATATATTCATATAATCATATCATACCATAACTAACCATAACATACCATACGATAACCATATCTTACCATAATAATATCACACCATACCATACCATAACGAAATCATACCATACCATAACCATGCATATCATACCATAATTATATCACACCATACCATAACCAATTTATACCATAATTATATCATACCATACTAATGATTTAATTGGATATTTTATTGTAACACGTGCAGGTAATAACGGAGCTGTGTACGTACCACATTTTTATTGGTCAAGATGAACAGGTAAGAATCTGCGGGACTTTATTTTCAGCGGTTGTCTGTTCTTGCTTAAACGTTGTTGTATATTTCGTCTAGTGTTGTCTAATGCGTACTTGGTTGCTCATTTCGCGACGTTAAGCGTATCTTGTCTCACCATATGTATGTTAGAAATGCCTTCAGTTATGGCAAGGTATGGCTACTTAAAATAGTCTGGAATTTGAGACGTTTTTTATGTCCATTAGCACTTTGTAAGAATGAAGTTGATTTAAGTAGTTGCAGCGTTTTAGAAGTTTATTTCTTTGGAGATATTTGAAATCGTGCCTTGATAATGTGCTCAGTGAATTTACAGAAACGTTTTTCAATAAACTCCAGCCTAAACGTAACGTCTCTTGTGATGCGAGATACTCCTTCACAAATATATGATTTTTTAAGTAATAATTACTAAATTTTCTGTCCTTAGACTGCTCCCACAATATCTGGAAAAGTTTACTAAACTTTCGCCAACGACTCAAGTTGCCATACCACTGCTAGAATTTCCCTCTGGTATGTTTCTTGAAGTTACGTAAATTATGAAATCTGTTACAAAATATCAATGTACCCCCTAAAGAGAGCTAGGTTGTGTAAACACACAATCGTATTCGGCGAAAAGTTGGTAGCATTCTTTTAAATCGTTTAAATCGCATTGTAACAGCTTTGTGCTTTGTACAAAAACTTCACAGCGATCCAGTTGAAACAAGTCTTTGGAATATGTTTGCCTTACACAGAATCATCGAAGTTGGCTCAACGCGATAACATCTGAAACTTTTTATTATTGGTTTTGTCAAAATGATTAAAATATAAACGAACTGATATGTTTCACCTTAGATACTCTCAATACACTGTAGCTCTTGCTGATAATGTCATTCCATCCTGGTTTGTCAACTGTCCGCTATTGTTAAGAAAACAATTCGTGCCATTTATTACGAAAGTAAGTCCACATGTCATTCTATTGCCACGGGGATTGCTTGCTGAATTTTCAATAGATATATTTGCAAGAGCGACCAAGTTTTAATATTCTTCTAGTGAAAGCTCTTAGGAACGTATTTGTCATTTCCAGGCTTCTTCAACTGATAGCAAAACTCGTGCAGATGATTCTAGCCAGGTGCCAAACACAAAATTCGATACCAAAGCATCTGACCTTCTTACCCGCGATTTAAAGGCCACTGGTACCGTATGCTCAGTACAGAAATCTTGTGACTCAAACATCTTGTGACGACCAGCGGTGGGAAAGACTGAGATTTATGAAAGTTTAATTCCAAAACAACTCTTTGGTAAGCCCATTTATTTTCTCAGTCAAATTGTGCTCTGAATGTTTTCGCCCACAACTTGTCAACGATGGGTCAAACCTGTTCAATGTTTCGGTTGGGCATTCCGTTGGCGGAATGTCAAATTGATATTGTTGTATTTCAGATGATTTATCGGCCGAACTCATTAAAGAAGGAGCCAGACAACGCCTTGAAACTACAACAGAACTTCTTAGCAAGAGCACAGACAGCGTACATTGATTGTAGATCTTGTCAAAGATCGCCTCGCATCGTGTAGAGAAGATGAGGAAACTAATATTGAAGATACCCGGGATGATGTTGAAATGAAGAAAACCGAACTCAAGGAGTCAGGTTTGTAATGTTAAAACAGATCGGCCATTGTTCGCGCATTTACGAAATGAACAAATTATCTGCCTGCATTTTAGACAGCGCAGAACAAAAGATGCTGCTTACAGAACACGGCAGATCTTCACCCTCGTCGATTTTATTACAAGATTCCGGTCAAAAGTTGAATCTTGGTTCGGCATTTGTTCAACGAACTCGATATTTGAGTCGTAGCCGAGATATGGACCAAGCGCTTTTATGGTAAGAATTTCTCTTCAAACTCGCTTTGCATGAAATTTATTTCGTGCAAGAACATTCACTATCCATCCCTTACATTGCTACTAACATGACTGGCAGGGGAAGCAGAAAAGAAAGAGATCTTTGATTTAGACTAGCTTTTTCATTTTACAATCGTTTCAGATTGATGTCGTACCAGGTTCCAAAGACACTGTTTTACACAAGGAAGAAACTGAAGGCAAGCGAAATTACCTTTGCAATATGGAGGAAATATATATTATATATGACTATATTTACCAATTTTTCTTTCACAGGGAACAGTCAAGGCTTATTAACTCGTGAAGAGTTTCAAAAGGTAGCAATTTTAAGATCACGAATCATCATCGTGCATTAATCTCAACATCTGTTTAATTTTAGCCTGTTCCTGGTAAATCCCTTCTGGATGCAAGTCCTTTGAAAACTTTTTTGAGTTAAGACGAGGATAAACTTAATGAATCCGTAAGTCAAGTAATAATAATGATAAATTGGTCTTACGGATTATTAAATACTGAGCATTATAAACCGGTAAACTCAGAAACCGGTAATCTCAATTTTGCACTTCGAATTACGTAATTTAATCCTTGTGGTTGAAGGTGAGGACTTGCAACGTTACTTATTTATTACAGGGTGACGATAGCGTGGGGAATTCAGGGGTCGGTAGACTTAGGGAAAGACACTCGTAATATAATAGATTTTACAAAATATATCCTTAGGTTTTCCTATGAGTTACAATAAAACCTTTACAATTGTTCATTGATGAGCTCAGAATGTTTCGTTATCACGTGGCCTATGCACGACTCTTAATGGTTACTGTTAATCTGTTGTAACCACCTGCTGTACTGGTACGATGATTATCACATTTTGTTTGAGCTTTACATACCCGGGGAAAACACTCAGCCACGTCGAGGTTATTAGCTAATTCCAACAGCTTGTCGTAGTATTCATTGTGGAATAAATCTACAGAGGCACGTAGTTTTGCCATTTCATCCTTTAAAAGATTAATCTGTTTTATTGATTCCGCAATATCAATTTTTTTTTCTTCTTTAATTGGACCGTCAATGACAAAGTATGATCCAGAACATGTTGGGTGATAATGAGAGCAGCCATAAATTCAAATTTCTCCACGTTGCGAAAATGAGACTGTGCGTCACTAGCTAATCTAGGAAATGGCCCTTCCTGCGATCCTCCAAACTGCATAAAATTGAGTGTTTCGTAGATAACTTTGAATGCATCCAAACAACCATCGCGGGATCTTATTCGTTCTACCCATCGTGTCGTGGAAGGCTTTGCGAGCTTGTTACGGGTTAAACCAAACTCTTTCATCTTTTTACTTAGATACTGTGAGCGGATAGGGAACTGATAAAAAAGCTGGAGATATTTTGTGCCTGACTCAACATATTTTTCACTGGAAGAATTGAACACGCTTTGGCAACAATAAGGTTTAAACGATGACTGGGGTAATGAACATGCAACGCCTTCGGGTTTTTCTCTAATATTCTCCCAGAAATACCTTTTACCTGGCTGGACACAGCACTAGCACCGTCATATCCCTGGCCTCGACAATTTGAAGGAAGCCCGACATCTTGAGTGTACTTTGACTATGAACGGAATCAAATCCAAAGGCGAAACAGTTCGGTATACAAATGAAAATGTTCTTGAATCATGTAAAACTTCAAATTTATTCAAGGTATGTTATATAATTAATAATGCATAATATATTTTCGAAATATTATAAATTTGAAATTAAAATCAGTGTCTACCGTCTACTTTTTTGCGTATTATAAAAGTAGCAGGCAAATTCAAATGACCATAAACCCGGCATTATTTTAGAAATTCGAAATTTGACAGGATATAATTTTGTAGTTTTGATAGTTTATAAACCCCAACAGCCAAACAATTTTATGATACTTATCCCTATATTGATCATTAAACCTATAGAATGTATTAAATTATCCAGAAAGTATAAGCTTGGAGTTATCATTAAAAAGTGCCTTGCACCAGGTGAACTATATTTATTCAAATCTATTTACTAATTATTGTATTTTACTAATTTTGTATTTACTAAATTATTGTATTTACTAATTATTGTATTTTACTAATTTTGTATATACTCATGTGTATGTTATAATGATAATAATATAACAATAGAGTTGATGTTCGCGGTCATAAATGTGTTTTTGGCCCGACTTCGAACTCATTTTAGCCCGAGCGTAGCGAGGGTTAAAATGTGTTCCGCGAGGAGGGCCAAAAACACATTTATGCCCGCGAACATCAACTCTATTACTATATATATAAACTATAAACTATTATAACTATAATATATGTTCAACATCGTCAGCCTTCATCCACTTAGCTCAGTAAGTCATGCGACATTCCATGTCAGTTCCAGTAATTGTTCATCTCAGACCTTGAAAAAAAAAAACAACACTCCAAACACTCCAAAACTCCAAACACTCCAAACACTCCAAACACTCCAACACTCCACACTCCAAACACTCCAAACACTCCAAACACTCCAACACTCCAAACACTCCAAACACTCCAAACACTCCAAACACTCCAAACACTCCAAACACTCCAAACACTCCAAACACTCCAAACACTCCATGTCTTCTGACCTGGATTCAAGTTTACTGCTTTTATCATCTTTTTTATTTCACGTTTCCATTTTGAACATGTCCAATTGCAAAAAAGTATCCAGCCGACTTAAAATAGTTTTATTTTTGCAGTTACTTTCCAGAATATACCGTTTGGTTAAGACTTGTGTATTATAGTATATCATAGTTATAAAACTTCTTTTTCTGTCAGATATTTTCAATAATTAGCTATCGAGACCATCCTCAGTTGTTCGGGCTGGAATACACAAGCGGTCAGCTAAGAAATTACTCGTCTCCCGACAGGTAGTTTAAAAAAGCAGATTTTGTATGAAGCTATATAAAATATTTCTTGTTCTGAATGTTTGTATTTCACTCAATCTAGGGACATATTATTGGCAGGTTAGCTACACGGGGTTAGAGGCAGTGGAAATGGAGATGTTTGTGTAAAAACGACCCCAACGAAGAGACGGTACTGTACGCTTTTTCATAGATGATTGAGCGAAAATTATGGTCCTGATAAAAATCTCGCACTGCTATGATTGCCGTAAATACGAACCCTCATTTCATTCTCCTCCTGACGTATGGGATCTTATATAACACACAAACAATTACACTTCTCGTCAGGTATTCCTATTATTCAGTCCAATACATCACATACAGCAAAAGAAGAATTGTTTTTTTAAGATGATATATTTTTCAAGGTTATCGTTGGGGTCCATTGTATAACGTTGTTGACGAAGAAGTAGAAAGCAGTCATTTAAAATTCCTCGCTGCGTCTCCAGGTGAAATATTTCTCTTTTTATTTCACTTTAAATTTTTGAAATATCTCCAAAAGCTTATATTGTCTTATTACTGGTTCCTTGCAGGAAATTTAACCGAAGATGTGTAGAGATTTAACTGCAATATTTCCTACAGCGGTCTACTTCATGCAGTCACCCAAGACGTAAGTTGACAATTTCTTATTTTGTACTTTTCTGCAGACAAAATCCTGTGTAGAGAATATTATTGCATTTTTACTGAGTTTTAATGTTCCGTCAAAATCTGGATTAAGGCTGTTTTCCACTCACGTGTTTTTCATACGCACGTTAGTTTTCTGCATATTTTAGTATGCATTAGTTGACCTAGATTTACAACAATAATCGTTATAAAGGAAGCGAGAATAATTTAAATTGGCAGATTGAAGCTTATTATAATCATAACCATGTACGTACGGACTCGAGTTTACTTGATAGTCGATAGCGTCGACAGCAAATGACATTGAAACGTTTGTATGAATATTTCGAAGTCCTGACAGTATAATTAATATCCCGTAGGTTATTTCAAGCAAATATTTGACTAGCGACGTCGAACAAGGCCAGTTAACCGCGTCGTGGATCGTAAACTGACCTCAATACAGAAAGTGGGGACAAAAAGTCCCCACTTTAGCCAAAATACAAAACATTTTGTTCTAGGCCTCTCAGTTCCCGCCTCGCCGCGTATAAGGAACGTTAAGAGGCCTATGGACTACGCTGCGGTAACTCTGGTTGCTGAGTTGACTGGGTCCGAATCCATGAAATGGTAGATTTGAAATTTTCTCGCCAGAAGTACGGCTGGAATATTAAGTCTTTTAAACTCCAATATATATTTCAAACGATTTTAAATATTTTGTAAGGACTTTTCCCGGAGAATAAAGAAAGACTTATCATTAATGCCATCACAATGCTCATTGCTCACGAAGGTACAGTAGGAGACAAAAGTTTGAGTCCAGTCGTTGTAGAATTCCAGTATTAAATCCTGGCAGCGTATTCGAGTTAAGACATGCGTGCTAGTGTTTCAGTACTGTAAACTATATTAATTGCACACTGTTTTGGTCCTAATGATCTAAATTATAACAAAATAAAGTTCTCATTCCTTTACACTGCCCAAGATGGGTGGGAAAAAGGGCAAAGTGATGGTGCACAAGGACAAATAGTTGCATTAAGTATTGAAGGATTCTTTCCTCGTAAGGTCGCAGAAAAAGTGAGAATTTAAAAAGGTGGTATGCAACTAACCTTGGAGAGGTTCGAAGAAACTAAATCCTACTCAAGCAAACTTTTAGCTGCTTTGGTCATGCTCGGTTTGGCAATATTGAAAGATATAATAGGATCCTAATTAAAGAAAAGTATCATCCAATTCTTCAAGGACATGGAATTTTATCTGGTACAAAGATGATCGCACGTCAAACTATACATGATAATCACCCTAAGCACATGCACATCTTCTATGTGCCAGAAATCTTTTAGAAGCAAACTCATTCTGGTGATCTCGTTGTCATGGCTTTCCACCTCATATTCCAGATCTAAAACCTATGGAGCACTTGTAGAACCGTTTTAACCGGAAGAGGGTGAGGCACAGACCCGCCAGCCAGGCTGACTTGAGGCAAGTGGTCAACGAATGCTGGCAAGGTATTGAACGTGTGACATTAAAAAACCTATGGAATCTATGCGAGCAAGAATAAAGGTCATTTCAAGAGCAAAAAAGAGGGAACTAAGCAATGACTTGTAAATGCATGTTTGCACATTAAAATACGTAAAAATGAATATCATAACATCGCATAGTTGTTGTACAGCATGTATTTTTCTGTTTACTTATTTACTTTTTTCTAGTTCACTTATCGGTAAGGTTTTCTGTAGGATATTAATATATGCTGCTAAAACAATGAAATACAGTCACTGGACTCAAACTTTTGCCTCCTACTGTATATCTTTGCCAATAAATATATTTAGTGTTCAACCCTAAAATATACATATTCTGACTGCTATTACCTTCACAGGTGTTCATTATATACATAAAATAGTTAAAATGTCTCGTCTATTTGCAGGAGACCAAAACAAAATATCAGATAAAGATCTCGAAGCACTGTTTCACGCTTTGAGACATTAGGTTGGATCCAAAGCAGGTTTCACAACGCTCACTAGGTGAGAAAAGTTTATCTTTAACCATAACACACGCTGTTTACTCAACCAGCTCACTTTCTCTAGACCGTGTTTCTGTTTTGTTTTTACAGCTTCTATGAGAAGGTTGGTGTGAAAACTGTGAAAGCTTTGAAGAGGAATAATGAAGCCGTGACTCACGCCGCTGTCGACATACTGTGTGCTCTGATGCAGGTAAAGGGAGGGCTTTCCTTTAAGCGGCAAAAATGGTCAGACCGGTCATATTTAAATTTAAAATAGAGTATTTCGTTAAGAATATAGTTGCGAAATTTCCGAGCTAGACAGATGCAAGTAACGATATACTTGAACGCAGAGTTCTTGAAACACTCTAAAATACCAGTAATCTGTCTGTACCGAGATCGACAATAGGACCGGTCTGGCCGTTTTTTCCGTATAAAGGAAAGCGCCAACACTTTAACGATGAATTTCCTGGTAATATGTTGCCAAATCTGTCACTGTCATTAGTGTTACCCCTTTAACTTGCAATCCACATAAACTCAGCCAACTTTGAAATCTGAATGTTAACAGGATCCAATTTTATCGAAACGAATTCTGTTTTTTTATATAGCCAACGCACGATAACTATGACATTCGACAAGAACAGATAAACAAAAGCTCTTTGTTATCCTCTGAAAAATTTCTAAGCAGTTTGTTGGAAATTCACACGATAAATGTGGTAAGATGTGCGGTGTTGGTTGCCTATAATCTATGCTGAACCCTTGCATTTTTTTTTCCATCCCTCTTGTATGTATATAGCTTTGTTTTGGAAGAGAAATTCCCTTACAAAACCCAGCAAGTGATTCGTAGCAACTGCCTTTCTAATTTGAACTACCTTTCTAACTAAACACAAGAAATAGATTAACCATGAAAACTTTTCGTCTATATTCGTTCTACTGGGGTTTTAGTTATAAGTGGATTGCTTGATTTTCTGACGTTTGCTCTGTGTCCTCCTTACAGGTTTGTTCTAGTTGCTTTGCAATATATTAAAATAATACGGGGGTGAAGTTGGACATTCATGTTAAACTAATAGTAAGGTGTGATTGCTTCCAATATTTTGAATCAACTCATGTAGTCTGTTACAATAAATCGACTATTGCATATTCCTCTTAGTGAGACAACAGATGATGAACAGTTTGGGAAAATTACTGGAGAAAGTTGCAGGTATGCTACAAAGAAATTTGAGGAGCTTTTCATTCAACTTGTCTTCTTGGTAGTTTATGGCTCTTTGACTGAGGTTGAGAGTTGATTAAATAGCCTTTCTCTCTTTACCTTTTTGGTGAAGTTTACCACGTCCACTAGCTTGACCCATGCATAGGAGCAACTCATTAAGTCTGTTATTTGTTTGTCTAGAAATGGGTCATTGCATTTATCGATTGTTCCAGGTAGGTTTACGACAAAACTAAATAATAGTACCAATTTTACCATTTCTTCGCTTATGTATGTTTTACTATTGCCCCGCTAATGGTTCTTACCAATCGTGGTTTTGAATTCGTTCCTCAACAATTTCAGCATCCGTCGACAACAATTGTGAAAGGTGCTGGCATGGTTCTGAAGGCGATAATCGAGGTACGTTTTATTCATTCATTCATCCATTGAGAATTTTCTGCCTTTGACGAACGTCATTTATAACGCTCTGCATTTTTTTAGCCGTGATGAATGTACATATTAGTTCAGTTGATATTTAAGAGGTTTTAAAGGGTCTTAATTTTGAGAGGTATTATACACACTTCAAATCAAGCCAGGAACAGATGACGGAAAAATGAGTGAACTATAGATCCTCTGGCAGGAATCGAACCTACGCTTTTGCGATGCCGGTGCAATGCTCTTGTCACTGAGGACGTACAGTTGACTCATTTTTCCATCAACTGTTCCCTGCTTGAATTTGAAGTGCGTATAATACCACTCGAAATTAAGACCCTTTAAAACCTCAAGAATATTCCTGCATCGTGTGAAGTGCCTAAATCATCTGTTAATATTTAGTTAGAACTTCACTTTAGGAAGCTGATGAAGAAACCGCGGCAAAAATACAAGTTCTGGCGCTTGCCGAGGGCGCTCTACCAAAACGCTTACGCATGGCCATGTTTACGCAAAGCACTGATAGACGTTCGCTATTGAACAGGTGCGAATTAGTGTGATAAATTAACAAATTGTTGCAGAGGTATAGCCTCTATTCCATCCGCAGGACCTGAGTTTATTTTAGCAACATTCTCAGATTCATCTTAAAACTTGTGATTTTATAATCCTCTATATACTAGCCATCTGTAAATAGTTCAATTGAGACTAACAAGCATACTCCATAAGTAATTTATAATCATTATTGTTGGCATAGCATCATCCAACAGCAATGGCATT